CCCCCGCCCCTCCCACCCCTGCCAGTCCCCCCTCAGCCCCTCACATTGTAGCCGTAGACGTAGCCATTGGGCAGCATCATGGGCGGGTTGTTCTCGTTCATCACGTCGCCGGAGATCTTGCACACCAGGCGGGAGTTGGCGCAGTGGGCCATGGGCAGCGGCTGGGCCAGCTTGTTCAGGGAGCGGCTGCACACCGGGCAGTCGGGGCTCTTGGAGCTGCCGTCCTCCTTGTAGCACTGACTGTACCCGAGGTTAAGGAAGGCTGGGTCGGGGTCAAGGGGCACAGCAGGCGCGCTGCAGCCACGCGCCCGCACTCCAAGTGAAGGCAACGCTTATTCCACAGCCAGCAGCCTCTGCGGCCCTGCTACCCGCCCTCAGGGCCACGCCAGCGCGCTGCAGGAGCCTCTGCACCATCCCCAGGACAGGGGAGCTCCTCAGATGGGGGGGGCTGTGGACGGCAGCACGCACAGACCTCCTCTCATGGGAGTGCTCAGCACACAACACAACGGGAAACCACTGCCCAGAGGCGCTGGCTGGCACACCAAGAGACCATCACCACAGGGGGACGGCCCTGCCATAGGAGCAGGGGTGAGGCTCACAGGACAGCTCTGTCATAGGAGCAGGGGCGAGGCTCACAGGACAGCTCTGTCATAGGAGCAGGGGCGAGGCTCACAGGACAGCTCTGTCATAGGAGCAGGGGTGAGGCTCACAGGACAGCTGTCATAGGAGCAGGGGCGAGGCTCACAGGACAGCCCTGCCATAGGAGCAGGGGCGAGGCTCACAGGACAGCTCTGTCATAGGAGCAGGGGTGAGGCTCACAGGACAGCTGCCATAGGAGCAGGGGTGAGGCTCACAGGACAGCTCTGTCCATAGGAGCAGGGGCGAGGCTCACAGGACAGCTGCCATAGGAGCAGGGGCGAGGCTCACAGGACAGCTGTCATAGGAGCAGGGGTGAGGCTCACAGGACAGCTGCCATAGGAGCAGGGGTGAGGCTCACAGGACAGCTCTGTCATAGGAGCAGGGGTGAGGCTCACAGGACGGCCCTGCCATAGGAGCAGGGGTGAGGCTCACAGGACAGCTCTGTCATAGGAGCAGGGGTGAGGCTCACAGGACAGCTGTCATAGGAGCAGGGGTGAGGCTCACAGGACAGCCCTGCCATAGGAGCAGGGGCGAGGCTCACAGGACAGCTCTGTCATAGGAGCAGGGGTGAGGCTCACAGGACAGCTGCCATAGGAGCAGGGGTGAGGCTCACAGGACAGCTCTGTCATAGGAGCAGGGGTGAGGCTCACAGGACAGCTCTGTCATAGGAGCAGGGGTGAGGCTCACAGGACAGCTCTGTCATAGAAGCAGGGGTGAGGCTCACAGGACAGCCCTGCCATAGGAGCAGGGGTGAGGCTCACAGGATGGGCAGCCACTATAGCCAGAATGGGGTCAGTGACTCAGGAACTGGGCAGCTGCTGCACTCAGGGCCAGGGTCGAGCCATTTACACACAGGATGAGCAGTCACCTCAAGGAGGGCCTGGGTGCAGGGTTCTGTGAGGGGGGCTGGGCCCTGGCGGGAGACGGGAAGGGAAGGACGCTGCCGGCAGCACAGCTGTGTGTGTGCGGGACCCCAGACAAAGCTACAGCGTGGGCTGCTGGGCAGGCCCCTCCGCATCCCTCTAGAGGACACGCTGCCTGGCTCGCGTGGCGCGGGCGCGGTGTGGAGGATACGGCGTCTTTATGGCGGAGAGGCCGGCCTGCAGCGTGAGCGTGAACACCGAGCTGTTCCCCAGCTGGTGGAGCCGGTAGTTGTCATAACGGAACTGCTGAATCAGCACCCGCCAGCGCGCCGGGTCGAGCAGGTCCTGGAAGAGACAGAGGGGCCGTGGGGCAGCTCTGGAGGCCCGGTGTCACGGCGCGGGCTCCGGGCTGCACTCTGGAACCACGCCCCTGCTGGAAGCCCTCTGAAGGAGGGTGTGGGCCGGCGAGCTGTGGCCGGGCACCAGGAGGCAGGTGACACTCAGAGAGGCAACTGGCCGGGCAGAGGCCCAACTTCGGCCCTAGCCCAGAGGGGATGGTGTCCCCTGAGGGTCCTAGCCCCAGAGAGGCGGCTGCCGGGGCCTGTGGTCAGGCTCTGCGGGCTCTCCTCAGCCTCAGGGGAGAGGCCTCCCTTGCCTCCTCAGGTGAAAGCTCTGCCTCCCGAGCCACACTTGGCAAAGCTGCAGGCCGTGTCGGGAGCTCTGGCCAGCAAGGGCCCCCCTTTCCTCTGAACTAAAACTGCCTCAGAAACGCAGCCTGACCCCCAGCCGCCATGCTGGTGCACGGGTGAACGTGCCTGGCGCAGGCCCGCGCGGGCAGGGGCTCTCCAACACCGTGAACCCCTTCGGGGGGTCAGAGGGGATCTATCCTGTGATGGAGCATCTCCCCTGCGAGCCGCATCTCCTCCTGACCAGGGAGGTGCTAATGGAAGGTGTGGCACCGGGGCAGACTCAGCGCCTGCGTCCGAACTGCCCCGGGCAGCGGCCTCGGGGAGGCAGTGGGTCGCACACTGGACTCCGGTGAGCCACGCGCAGGACCTGTCCTCCTGAGACCCAGCCCCTTGCCAGGGAGCCCGATGCCAAAGAGAAAACTGGAATGGCGACCAAAGACTACTGCTAATACCACCCATCTGAGCCCTGATGCCAGAGCTCCAGCATCACGGGGGAAGCAGGGCCACCCGTGAAGGTGGGCACGCCTGTCAGCCCGGCTACTCAGAGGCTGAGAGCTGAGGATCACGGTTCAAAGCCAGCCCGGGCAGGAAAGTCCATGAGACTCTATCTCCAATAAACCACCAGAAAACCGGAAGTGGTGCTGTGGCTCAAGTGGTAGAGTGCTGGCCTTGAGCTGAAGAGCTGAGGGACAGCGCCCAGGCCCAGAGTTCAAGCCCCACGACCGACATAAAGAAAAACAAAAAAGAGTGCTGCCATCCCACGGTTACCTTGTATGGGGAGATGTGCGTGTCTGGGGGGAAGGCCAGCATGCCCATGACCTGGCGAACCTCCTCCAGCTGGCTCCCCTCGGCCTGACTGAAGTGTTTCCTTGCGTGTCTACAAAGCAACATTTTGGCACACTCAGTTTGACTCCAGCACTCAGGACCCCTGCGCCCACCTCCAGCGGCCGCCCCCGTGGCTCCACACCGCACGCACGGAGCAGCTCACTCAGCCCTGTGTGGGCCAGCAGGCCGTGCTGTGGTCGGCTCGGTGGGGCACAGTTGCTCTGCTTAAATTTAAGGCTTGGTGGACACTGTGCCACTTTGTCCGGCGGGGTCTCAGGCCACGGCAGGGCCGCCCGCCCTCCGTCCACAGATATGTCCTCCGAACTCGGGGCCCCAATGGCCAGAAGCGCCCCTGAGCCCCCACAGAGGCCAGCAATGCCCCAAGCCCCCTCACGAGCCAGCAACATGCTGGGACAAAAACAAGGAAGTATCAGGCCAGGAGGTCCCAGGTGCCCACCAAGCAGCCTGAGGTGGGCCAGGCCCCCGGGCTCCACTCCAGGAGGCAGGGAGGAGAGGCTAGAGGTCATCGGAGAGGTGCCCGCAGGGGTGCACACGCATCCACCTGACAGGACCGCCACCAGTTCCAAGACAGCCCAGCCCCTGACAGAGTGGGGCCCACCCTTCCTTAGCAGTGTGTGGAAAGCCAGGGCTCTAGCCCGGGCCACCGGAAGAGCCTTCAAGTGAGGTCACTGAGAAGCATGCCCAGGCAGGCCCTGAGGGCACCAGCCAGTGCTCTTCCTCTCTGCTTCCTGGCCTGGGAGGCCAGCAACTGGCCCAGCCCCACTGCAGGCCTGAAACAAGGCCACCAATTCAACAGGGTCTAAAGCCTCTGGTGCTATGAGCCAAACGAAACTCTTCTTCCTCTTTTTGGGGGGGAAGGGGAGTCGGTTCTGGGGCTTGAACTCTGGGCCTGGGCGCTGTCCCTCAGCTCTTCAGCTCAAGGTGAGCACTCTACCACTTGAGCCACAGCGCCACTTCCAGTTTTCTGGTGGTTTATTGGAGATAAAACTTTCCTGCCCAGGCTGGCTTTGAACCTCCTCGATCCTCAGATCTCAGCCTCCTGAGTAGCTAAGATGACAGGCGTGAGCCACTGGTGCCTGGCTTCCTTCTTCCTTTGAGTCGTTTGCTTCAGGTATTTGTCATCACAATGAAAGCTAACATATAATAATGCAGTTTCCTTTACAATATAAATACAAATTCAACAACACCCAGAAAGCTAGGCACAGTAGCTCATGCCTGTCATCTCAGGTACTCAGGACTGAGATTCGAGGCTAGCCTTGGGAAAAATAGACCCCTCTCAACCAACAGTTGGGCAGACTGGCCTGTCTCATCCCAGATCCCAGCTATGCACAGTGTAATTAGGAGGACTGATGTCCAGACGGGCCCGGGCCTAAGTGCAGGGCTCTATCCCTGGCTCCAGCAGCAGAGCACCTACTCAGCAAGTAGGAGGCCTGAGTTCAAACCGCAACAACAGCAGGAAAACTAAATCCCTAAATCTCACCTGGCCAGGCCAAGGTGAGACAACACCGTCCACGTCCACGGGCCACGTCCCCGCCCTGAGCCAGGCATTCAGTTAAAAATGTGGAGCTGGACGTGACGGCACATGGCTGTAATGCCAGCTAACCAAGAGACAAGAGACTGAGAGGATCCTGGTGTGGGAGCAAAGTCTAGCGAGAAGCCAGTCTCAGCAGACAAGCGTGGCGCGGTGTGCGCGGTGCCCACACCTGCGGCCTGGCCTGCTAGGAGGTGCATGTCCGAGAGTCATGGTCTGAGGTTAGCCCCTGCCAGACTTGAGACTATCTAAACATAAGAGCAAAGAAGGCTGGGGGCATGCTCAAGAGGAAGGTGAGGTCCTGAGTTCAAACTTCGGTGGCCCTGAAGTTTTGTTTCTAAATTATGAAAAAGGCTGGCGGCCTGAGCTGCGCTCCAGCTGCTCAGCGGCGGAGGGGGAGGGCTCCCGGAGCTACAGGCCAGTCTGGGCAACAGTAAGACCCCAGATGTGGGTTTGGGGCACAAATAGATGGTAGCGATACCTCGCATGCTCAGTTCCAGCCCCACAACAGACGAACAAACATACACATGACCCATGAATCACTCGGCCCATGTTTTCAGGTACAGCGGCTGTGTGAGGCACTGGCACCTGACCAGGCACGTGTGCATCCCATGTGCAGATGGACACAGGCAGACAAAAAGGTCTGTCTGTCCCCCGCGCCCCCAACCAAGCACAAGTGCATGAGGCAGGGACCCTCAGCACTGCCCAGAACCCTGCCACCTCAGCATGCATTCAGGCAGCAGCTGCACCTGCCCTCGACCCAGGCCACGTCCACCCACAGGCCAACTTCTGCTCCTTCCGGTGCCCGGGGCAGAGGTCTTGGTGACACAGGGCCAGAAGGGCCGTGGGGCCCGGCCAAGTCAACGGTCCCTGCGGAAGGCGTGCACCCTAAGGAGGCCGAGCAGGCAGGACAGCCGGCCTCTGCCCGCAGGCCCAACTATGCCGCGCGAGAAGCCCAAAGGTGCGTGCAGAATGCTGGCGCTCCTCTTGGCACCCAGCTGGTCACCGTGGAAAGTCCCCAGAACTGAGAACCAACCCATCAGCCCCCCGGCTGCAGGCGGCCAATGGAGCCTTCACACGCAGGCAGACGGGGCCCAGAGCCTTGCTCATGCTTCCCTGCTGGCTCCCCTCATGGCCACCGGGGTGGGGGCTCCTGCGCTGCCTCCACACAGGAGTGGGGCCACAACCCCAGGCTCGGACACGAGACACAGCCTGCACCAGGCAGCCCCGGCACCCAGCCACAGGGTGAGGCCCAGGAGGGGCGGGCACGCTCAGAAGGCCCCGAATCCCCAGGAGGGGCGGGCACGCTCAGAAGGCCCCGAATCCCCAGGAGGGGCGGGCACGCTCAGAAGGCCCCGAATCCCCAGGAGGGGCGGGCACGCTCAGAAGGCCCCGAATCCCCAGGAGGGGCGGGCACGCTCAGAAGGCCCCGAATCCCCAGGAGGGGCGGGCACGCTCAGAAGGCCCCGAATCCCCAGGAGGGGCGGGCATGCTCAGAAGGCCCCGAATCCCCAGGAGGGGCGGGCACGCTCAGAAGGCCCCGAATCTCCAGGAGGGGCAGGGCAGGTGGCGCGCTCCTACCTCACAGCATCTAGGCGCTTGTTCTGCCGGACGAGCTCAATGAACTCCTGGATCCTGAGGCTGAACTCCAGGCAGCTCTGAAGACAGAGATGAGAGGAGGCTTAGGAGAGCGTCACGTGTCGGTGGCAGCAGATCCCCACCGGAGATCCCCAGCAGGACCAGCACGGGCCTCCGCTGGTGAGCTGGCCCCCGAAGCCAGGTGGCCAGCGCAGCAAGGGTAGTGAGCCCACAGAGCCTGGGGTCCTGCTGACATTCTGGGAGGAGCTCGGCCAGGGGACCCGGAGGGCTGACGGGGTCACAAGGCACTACCAGGAAAGCCGAGGGCAGGGCTGCCGCCAGCCCACGGGTCACGGCGAGGAGATCCACAACGTGTGGAAAAAACAAGCGCAGCTCCCTGCAAGGGCACCGCCCCGAGCTCCAGGTTTCTCCCCAGCACAGGCCAGGCCTTGGCCTCGGTGCGCTGCCAGAGCTCCCTATCCCAGGACCTGCTCTGAGATCTGGGGACCCTGCTGGCCCCTGCTGGAAGGAGAGCGGTGGGGCTGGACAGTGGCACCGCCGGACAGACGCCAGGGAGTTCCAGGCAGAAGGAGGGGGCCCAGGAGCCCGGGTGGGCGGTGCCAGGAGCAGAAGAGCCAGCCAGGGGGAAGCAACTGCTGGCTGGGCCCACGTGGCGCTGGCGTGGTTTACGAGGGGTTTTCGTGGAGGGCGGTGCTCTCAGGGCCAGGCAGGTGGCAAGAGGTCTGGCAGGGGCTCCTTCTATGGTGGGGAGGCCCTGGGGGCCAGCTGCGTGGGCTCTGTCAGGGGCACAGCAAGGACTCGGGAGGGCGCGGCAGGCCCAGGGCAGCACAGCCTCACGGAGGCCTGGGGAGACCCACAGCACCCAACGTGGGCTGGGTGAGGCCAGCAACTTCACATGGAAAGCTTCCGAACACCCCGGGCACAGCTGCTGGGCAGGAGCGTGACACACCAGAGACACCCTGACAGGGAGGAGCCTGACACACCAGAGACCCTGACACACCAGACACCCTGACACACCAGAGACCCTGACACACCAGACACCCTGACACACCAGAGACCCTGACACACGACACCCTGACACACCAACACACCAGACACCCTGACACACCAGACACCCTGACCCTGACACACCAGACACCCTGACACACCAACACACCAGACACCCTGACACACCAGACACCCTGACACACCAGACACCCTGACAGGGAGGGGCCTGACACACCAGAGACCCTGACACACCAGAGACCCTGACACACCAGACACCCTGACACACCAGACACCCTGACACACCAGACACCCTGACACACCAGACATCCTGACACACCAGACACCCTGACACACCAGACACCCTGACACACCAGGCCAGAGCTTTACACACACCTCCTCAGCCAGCTCCTAAGGACCGCCGTCTCCACCTGACCAGCCCGCCCGCCCGCCCGGCACTACCCCTTACAGTGGCTCTGACTGCAGGGGAGCAGGCTGGTCTCGCACACTCCCGCTCCTCCTTGTAGGCCACCCCTCACCCCTGCTCCCAGGCTGAACAAGTGAGAGGCAGAGCTCCCGGCCTGAGCCAAGCCAGGGTAGTGCCCCAACTCCAGTGCAGGATGGTGCCCTGGAGCGGCTGAGCACACCGAACAATGTGGACCAGGGTGGACGGCCCTCGGCTCCCGTCAAATGAGAACCAGCAGAAACTGGGGGGGAGGGGGATCCTGCCCAGAGCCAGGTGGGGCGGCCGGGCTCTCCTCATGCCCGTTGGGTTCACCCACAGTCCCCCCCAAGCTGAGCCGGGAGCCCCCATACCTTCATCTTCCGGAGCCGGGACTTGTTGTCATGGCACCAGGCTAGGCACGTGGCCGTCTCCCGCCGCTCCAAGGACTCCTCCACCTCCTTGGCCGTCAGAAACATCTCGATGTTCACCAGGTCCTTGGGAAAGGCGTGGCTCAGGTCACAGCATGCTTGGCTCAGGGACCCCACTTTTCCATATGGGCCATTCCTGGGGCTTGAACTCAGGGCCTCAGCACTGTCCCTGGGCTCTTGGGCTCAAGGCAAGCATACTACCACTTGAACCAAGCTCCATTCCTGGCTATTTGGTGGTTAACTGGAGATAAGAGTCTCACAGACACTCCTGCTTGGGCTGGCTTTGAACTGAGACTCAGGTCTGTGCCTTCTCGGTAGCTCAGGCTTACAGTGTGAGCCACCACTGGCGTCGGGCTCCCAAGAGGGCAACTGGTCTCCACACCCGCCCTGGTCACGGGGCCCAGGGGCCCTCAAAAAGCACAGGCATGCCCACAGCTGCACTCACAGGGACCCTGGGGGCCACATCTGTGGGGCCGTCTGAATGGGTTGAGACTGACGAGCCCCCAGCAAGGTACAAATCCAGCCAGCCCTCAGAATGAGCTACAGCCCTCCAGACCCCAGCCCAGGCACGGGAGGCCTTGGTGGAGGACCACACCCTCTGTGGCAGGGGCTCCGGCACTAGCGAGGTAGACAGACACTGGCACTATGACTGGCCAGCAGAACCCCAAGGCTAGACCTCAGCAGAGGCCAGCAGGTGGAGTGTGGTCTAGAAGAGCCCTGGCTGTGAGCCAAGAGTCCTGCCCAGCAGGGGGGAGGCCATGATGGTGGCTGGGGCCACCCTCCCGACACACTAACGGAACAGGCTCTATCTGTGCCCAAGAGAACCCATCTGCTCAGGGAGTACTGGGTGCCTGGCCAAGCACGACAGGGCAGGTGAGGGACACCTGCATGTCCCGATGAGCCGGGGGCCTGGCAGCCCTGTTTCCTTGGTCCCTGCTCTGAAAGCCATGGTGTTTTGGGAGGTGCGGGGCCCAATTCTCCCGAAACACCCACTGTACTTTGGAGGAGCCCCGTGAGTGAAGGGTCCAGCAAGCAAGAGAATCTAACGCAAGGAGACAGGAGAGCACCGTGAGGAGAGAAGGGAAGGGAGGCTATCCGGGGAGAGCTCTAAGCACCCCATGAGTCCTGGAGGAGGCATGCACAGGGGCCCGGCTCTGCTGGCCTCAAGTGCTCCTCCTGGGGCCCCCTCAGCACACCTTCACCTGGGTGCTGCACACACACAAGGCCAGGGAGCCACCTTCTGGTGGCCAGAAGCAGCAACCCCTCCCCCCACCCCCCGCTCTGGCAGCCAAGGCTGGGGGCATCAGAACACAGGTGAGCACAGCGCTAGGAACAAGTACAAGTAAGCACAATAAAAGCCAGACTCCCGCTTTACCTATTTCAGCACAAACCAACAACTTACAAGAAAACTACTTGAGAGTAAGTGAGAGAGCAAGAGAGAGTCAATAAGTCAGTATCAGACTCTCCAAGTGATCAAGCGCAGGTGAGATGCTGAGTGTCAGCCACCCGAACCATTTCTACTCACTGGTCGGAATCGAGAGCAGCCAGCTCTCCCCTGGCCAACGTGCTACTGGCTCAGGGCTAAGGGTCAAGAATACTGACCATGGGGCTGGGGGTTTAGCCCAGCGGAAGGGCGCCCCCGCCTGGAGCGCGCAAGGCCCTGGGTTCGGTCCTCAGCCCTGGAAAAATGAAAAAAAAAAGAAAAAAAAAAAGAAAGAATACTGACCTTGCTGTGCACTGGTGACACACGCCTATAATCCTAGCTACTAGGGAGGCTGAGATCGCAGGATCAGGGTTCAAAGCCAGCCCAGGCAACAAAGCCTGTGAAACTATTTCCAGTGAATCACAAAAAAAAGCTGGAAGTGGAGCTATCACTCATGTGGCAAAGCAGCTCTGAGACAATGCCCAGGCCCTGAGATCAAGCCCCAGTACAGGAAAAAAAAAAAGGTACCACAAAAGGCTGTCAGGCCAGGTCAGCCTGAGTAAGACCAACCTACTCCCCAAGTGTTCAGGCCTCACTGGCCCGGACAGCCCCACAACCTGACCCCAGGACAGAGAAGGAGGGCAGGAAGAAGGGAGGCGCGGCAGGCTGGTGGGGTGGAGGGAGGGGTGTCAAACACAGAAGCCCTGAGGCTGCTGCTGAGGGTTGGTGAGAACTGGGCCCTACGGCTCTGTAGCCACGAGGAATAAACTAAGCAAGAATGTGAGGACCTTAATTCAAACCCTGCTAACCACATCCAAAACAAAAATCCAAGGGCTAAAAGTCCTGCTACTGAGAATGTTCCAGATTCATTCCAGTTTATCCTAGTGGTTTCGATTTTCTTGTCATTTTTTGTATTACCTGTGTTCTTTTTAAGCTCAGCTACCCAAGTGTTTCTATTTTTTTTTTTTTTAAGAAAACTGCTAAGCCAGGCACTGATGGCTCACACCCATAATCCTAGCCATTCAGGAGGCTGAGATCTGAGGATCAAAGTTTCAAGCCAGCCCAAGCAGGAAAAGTCCTTGAAATTTTTATCTCCAACCAACTGCCAAAGAGCCAGAAGTAGAGCTGTATGTAGTTCAAGTGGTAGAGTGCTAGCCTGGAGCACAAAAACTCAGGGACAGTGGCCAGACCCTGAGTTCAAGTCCCAGGATGAGTACCAAAAAAAGGAGCCCCACAGATGGATGTCGCCTTCTCTACTAGAACACACGTGTTAGGAAAGCCAGACTCCCAGGACAGTCGCCCGAGATGGACACACAGCCGGCACTGGGAGGAGCAGCTGCGCGGCATCCCCAGGTGTCCGCTGGAGAGACGAGACCCAGGCCTCCCACACACGTCCTACGTACAGCAGCACCCTGCCCTGCTGAGGCTGGGAGGGGCCCACGGGGCCTTGAAGGCTGCTGGCCGGCCTCGGCGCGTGCACGCACGCACAGACGCACACACAGATACACACACACACACGAGGCACACACACTGGGCCTGGCCTGGCTGGCCTCCAGGGACCCCTTGCTGCCCACGGGGCAGGGAGGCGGGAGTGGCCGGCCGGCCCACCTCGACGCCGCTCTGGCGCGCCAGCCTCACAGCCGTGTTGTAGTAGCCGCAGCGCAGCAAGTGCTCCACCATCATGCGGTCCATGCGCTTCCTCTTCCACACGCTGGCCGCAGCCGGCTGGTCACTGCTGTGCTCCTTCAGATGCTCGATCCGGCGCTTGCAGAGCTTGGCGCTCTCGTCCTCAGCCTGGATGGACTCTACCGCCTAGGCCACAGCAGAGAGCGCACACAGTGAGCATGCGTACGCGCACACGCGCACACACCAGCGCCATGCCCAGCTGGGGGGGGGGGATAGGAGGGGGGTCTATGAGAGGGAGGGGGGGGTGTCTATGAACGTCACTGCACCGGGCTCCACCTCCGTCCCCGGGACAAGTCTGGCAGAGCAGCTAAGGTACCAACTCTGGACGCTGTGCACGCACCCCTCCAGCCTGCCACTGTTTACATGTCTATCTACTTTCAGTTGTGTTATTTTTACTTTATACAGTCTGATCTTATGTTGCCAAGTACTTTGTTAAACTTTGAAATCTGCTACTTTTTACCTGAACTGTTCATCATTACAAAGTAAGTTTTTCATTTTTTATAACTTTTTCCTAAAGGTAGTTTTGTTCATCGTTAAACAGTAACAGAAACGGTCTGGACCTACATGTCCAATACACTACCCCTAATCCAGAAACTATCAAGAGCCAAGAGGACCCGTGTCACCATGTCTCGCATGATGAAGGCATGACTTCTGAATGCCCTGCAGCCTGCTGGGTCCTGGGCAGCTTAGAGCGAGGCCCAGCTGGCTGGCTTTCCTCCGGGTCTGTGGCTCCAAGTCAGCAAATGGGCCTCCCTCCGAGAGCAGTCTTCTCCCAGCCTCTGCTTCAGAGGACGGGGTCCCTCTCCACCCCTGCCATCCCTGAGCCTCTGGGTCTGAAACACTCCCCAGAAATCCTGCTGCTTTGGATCTCCATCCTCCGCTGACTATGCTTTGTTCTAATGATCTCCTCCTACCCACATTCAGTCCAATTCCCTACTGAACTTTGTCACAGTGTCCAACGATAACTGTTACAAGTTTTTCATTCAATGAAAAACCTAAATACACACGTTTTTGCCAACCAGGTCCCCTTCCTGGCCCATCTATATGCTGGTGTTAGGGTTTGAACTCAGGGCCTCACGCTCATCCAGTACTCTATCGCTTAAGCCAGGCCTCGGGCAGGTTATTGTGTTTTTTAATTTCTTGACATGCTGTCTCTTTTTAAACCTTTACTATCTTTTTACACATTCTGTTCCCTACAGAGGCTTTCACTCTTTTAGCACTCTCCGGATTCTGCGGAGGCTGACAGCCACGGCCATGTCTGTACTGGCCTCTGCTGGTTGTCAGGCCCTATTCTCCTCCGGGCTGCCTTTGCCTTTGTGCTGGATTCTGTCCTAAAGTCACTCCAGGCCATGCGGGTTGAGATCAAAGGCTCCTCCCCACAGGGGACTGCACCCACTCAGCCAGGGCCAGCCAGGGCCAGCGCTCTCCAGCATCCAGGTTCTCCGCAGAGAGCTGTGGAGCTTGGTCAGCACCCATACCTGGGTGCCAGCCTGCTGGAGAGAGATGTGGAAGGGAGTGACAGGTTGTCCCAGGACTTGTCACCTTTCTGAGGCCTGTCTCCAACTTGGAATGCTGACTTTTTCTGCCTCTTGAGCTCTCTCATGAAACTGTCTTACCCAACTTTTTAAAGAGAATGTTATTGCACAATAGTGAGCAGATCATTTCAGAAGCCCCTAGTCTACCAGGATGGGGGCAAGAGGTCCAGCTGCGAATCTGAGGTGACTTCTAAAACTCTGCGTGCCTTGGCTCTCCACTGCCCCGTTCTCCAGGAGAGGCTGTCTGGCATTGCTTTATCCCTCTCCACCTTGGGGCCGGGAAGCAGCACCCACCTTCCTCTTGAGGACACTGAGCTTCTCCACCACCCCATCCAGGAGGCTGACCACAGAATCCACGGCTGGGCAGCTGCTCAGAGTCTTCTCCAGTTCTGCCACCACCATCGTAACGTGACTTGTCTCTCGGTCGATGTTCTTCTGAGCGGCTCGGAAGCGTTTGTTCAGCGTCTCGTAAGGCACCTAAGTGGGGAAGGACCCGTGTGGGATCACAGCCAGGAGAATGAGTGCTCAGGCCTTGGTCACACAGCCGTGGCAGCAACACCTCCCAGAGTCTGGATCCAAACCCAGAGCCTGGTAAGAGGACACCTAGGCTGAGGAGGAGCAGGGGAGGAAGAGAGCGAGACGAAGGCAAAGACACACGCCGCTCCCACTGCCTCGGATCCGCACGTCTTCTAAAGGAATTGTAAGTACATACTAACAACATAATCCCCAAGTTCATCTAGAAAAATAAACAGTGAAGGGCATGGACAAATGCGCTGTGCCAGTGAGAAGCTGGCTGCTATTCAAAGCTGGGCGGGTCCCGGAGGACAGGCCCACATGAAGCCCACATGCACTTCCCACTGTCTCCTCGAGAGCAGGGCTGCAAACAGACACGTCCATCCTAGTTCCTATACGGAATCTGAAAATAGGGAATAACTAATCTTGAAGACTGCCCATTCTTCCAGAGAACTGTGGCTACAATATCTTTCTTCTTCCTGGCTCCCTTACTCTGACCACAAGAGACAACACGTGTCCAACACAGCACACACCCATCTCTAGTCCAATGATACACACAATGCACACGGGGTCCTCACGTCCAGCACAGCACA